CCATTCACTTGGACTAGTAGACAGCCCAACCACTTGGGCTGAACGGTAGAACGACAGGACTGGCTTCATGCAGGTCGGCGTTCGATCCCCGATGGCCCAAGTGGGTTGGGCACCGTTCCTTCACTCCCTTAATATCCTATCTCTTAGTCCGTTATCATATCTCTTCCAAGTAATATATAGTTATACTGACTTATCGCTTACACATAATTGATACAGTACCTTAATTTCAAGCATATAATATTCTATCCTGCCGTAAGCTCATGGGGCAACCTAATTCAATACAAACAACTTGAAAGTAGAAAGTATCAATTGCAACGTAACAATTATATCATATCAGTAATTGACGTTATTACCAAATTGCAATCTCTGTTGCAAAAGGTGACATGGTTACCCTCACCCCCCAAAAAAAAAAAAATCTTACCTAACCTTAAGTTAGAGTAGAGGATATTATGAGGTAATTCGGCAATTTAACGGTAGGTGAAAGTATGTACGACCAGAGTGCCATGTACGACTAGAGTGGCATGTACGACCAATGCCATGTACGACCAGAGTGCCATGTACGACCAGAGTGCCATATACGACCAGAGTGGCATATACGACCAGAGTGGCATGTACGTACGCAGGAACATAGCGAAGCAACTGGTACCTCGAACAAGAATAGTGATACCTAGAATTCCAGAGAGAATGGTGCCATTAAATGGGCAATTAAGCCATTTCGGAAACGCAGTATTATGCACACAGTCCTATATTTAATTAATAATAATACTATTGGATAAAAACCCATACTTGTGTATATGTGAAATTGATGTAAGGAATTTACACCAAGTCTTTCGCACTCCTGAGTGCTTTGTCAAGGTCTGAGTGTGTGATTAGGATCTCAATCCTAATCTATATATATCTATGTAATCTCGTTCTAATCACACACTCAGACCTTGACAAAGCACTCAGGAGAGTGCGAAAGACTTGGTGTAAATTCCTTACATCAATTTCACATATACACAAGTATGGGTTTTTATCCTATGTTATTATGTCTATAAGAAGACATTACCGTTACCAATAATACTATTATCAACAAGATAAGACAAGAACAAGAATAATAAACATTCAATTCCTGTGTTGCCATTCAACAATTGATCACAAGTATTAAAATAACGAATAAGATGGCGTGCCCCGTCCACCTCTCCGCCTCGCGTGCCGTCTTAGCACTGTAAATCCAGATTATATATCAATCAATAATTCTTCAGACTTCCTCAGCAGCACCAAAGACCCAGTGGGAACCCAACAGTCTGCTGTTCTTCGTGGATCCATTGTAATTATCGCCATTATAATGAGTATTATTATGTTTAATTATCGTTCTGGTTTTTGCTTTGCTTTCTAATATATATAATAAGCAGAATGAGCTTTGTTATTTTCAAATATTTCTTTTCAAATTGGTTTACATGAATGAATATTATTATATTATATTAAGAACATGACTTACTGACTTACTTATGTTAAGTTAGGATAGGCTAGGTTTGGTACCATTTCTGTTAGTTTAAACTCAAATTAAACAACAAATTAAAATCATATATAATATAACGCAACAAGCAACGCCTAGTAAAACATTTAAAATTGTCAGAATGTATTTGACTGAATATACACGCTTAACCACATGCATAACCGCACGTTTTAGAAGATAATATATATTTTACTTTCAAGCCTGGGTTACCGGTGGTCAATGATCGTGAAGAATATATCGATATTTTGACGTTTCTTATTGCAACATGTTTTAGAGAGATTATTTCTATGATACAATAATAACAATAAGATCAAAATTGTAAAGCACAATAGTTCTTTGTAGTTTCTTGTAAAAAGTTTACATAAATTAGTAAATATGGAGGCTGCCGCCGCTGACTGACATGCTTAACTAAGCTTAACTAAGTCTCATGGAAACTTTTAAAATACTGAACAATTTGGAGGATGTTGATCCATATCTCTGCATTAAAAGGTCACATGTAACACATACAACAAGCAACAGCTTCAATTTCAACAAGCCACAATATAGGACAGAAAACAGAGGATGCATTTTCACTCATAGGGTTGTAAATCTATGGAACCGCCTGCCCGCGGAAAATACCACAATTCTAAATCTAACTGGAAAAAAAAATCATCAGAAAAAAATGGGGGAGGGATCTTTGACAAGCTGCCGGCTTCAGGTTCCCGTCGAGGCCACTAGAAAAATGTTAGCCCTCAGGTAAATTTAGGTAAATTAAACATAGAAAGACATGACCGCGTGACGTCAATGCAATAAATCTATGCATTATAAAAAATATATATAGTTTTAATCATTTCGGCAAGGACGTCTGCCGTTATGTGAGCCTATTTAAAAGTATAATAACCTGATCTAACATAATGTTCATTGTCGGCCTCCCCAACCAAAGCAAGAATCTAATAAATAATAATAATAATAATAATAAAATGATTATTATCATTTTAAACCCAAGATAATACCACTAGCCTCACACTCACTCTTCAAGGCACACGACATCGTTCCTGTCTTGTCTGAAGTCATAGCCGGTCAGCACACATCTTGACATCAACACGGCCAGACATCACCAAGCTAACGATTCGGTATTAGGCTTTGCCAAGCTTTCTTGGGGCTCCGTTACGTTAGTTAATGCTGATTTAATGTGAAATAAAAGGTTAAAAAAGAAATGCTCGTGTCTGACGAAGGTGTTGCGTGTCAGATGTTTCGTGTCAGATGTTGCGTGTCAGGTGTTGGGTGTCAGGTGTCTAACGAGGGTGTTGCGTGTCAGGTAAATCTCTTGCGTGGGGCAAGAAAGGAAGGGAGGAGCCAGGCCTGTGTGCGCCAGGCAGCTTGCAAGATCCGAGGCGGGTTATATAGTTAGTGCCACCAGTAGCTTACGACCTGCTCGGCTAACAGGCTCAGCACTAACCCACTAACAGGCTCAGCACTAACCCACTAACAGGCTCAGCACTAACCCACTAACAGGCTCAGCACTAACCCACTAACAGGCTCAGCACTAACCCACTAACAGGCTCAGCACTAACCCACTAACAGGCTCAGCACTAACCCACTAACAGGCTCAGCACTAACCCACTAACAGGCTCAGCACTAACCCACTAACAGGCTCAGCACTAACCCACTAACAGGCTCAGCACTAACCCACTAACAGGCTCAGCACTAACCCACTAACAGGCTCAGCACTAAACCAATAACAGGCTCAGCACTAAACCAATAACAGGCTCAGCACTAAACCAATAACAGGCTCAGCACTAACCCACTAACAGGTTCAGCAAAAAGATTTAAACACTTTTTGGAACGTGTTTTTATTTAATAATACTATTTTATTAATAAATTAATATAAATACATTATTGAATATCATTCGACACAGATTCATATATTTGAGCTATGATATTTCGACTACATAATAATTTCAACTCATAATTATAAGCAATTTCCGTCAATTTTTTTATTTTATATTCAAAATTACTGTGACGGTACGTAAAAACGGTTTTGGTCAAATCTTGGCTTAAAAAGATGTTAATTTCCTCAACAGTGTTATTGAAGTCTTGCAGTACATAGTGAACAATGCTGGCATTAAGATCGACACATATCACGATGGGGCTCAGGGAATTCAATCTAATATTTCTTTTTCAGACTTAAATTTGATTCAGGTAACTTAAATTTGTGATATTTTTGTTCCCAATATTTTTGTACTAGATGGGTGTACCTGGCTGTGCCTGTGGCTCTTTCAACACACCTCCTTTATCTTCTTTTCTCTCCCACCCACTGTACCTTTCTCTTCCCTCTTTACCCGATTGATTGATAAAGATTAAGTCACCCAAAAGGTGGCACGGGCATGAATAGCCCGTAAGTGGTGGCCCTTTTGAGCCATTACCAGTATCAAGAGCTGATACTGGAGATCTGTGACGGCGCGACTGCACCCTGCGTGACGGGAGATGTCTCCCTTGGCTCTTTACCCAAACATTCCCACCTTTTCAATTCCCCCCCTCCCCTCCCTCCTCTCCCTCTCTCTCTGTCTCTCAGAAACTTTAGTACAATAAGAGCTCGGTAATCCGAAATCCGGTAATCCAAATCTTAGGTTAATCCGATTGAATTCCTGTTCATCATTGTAGATTAAACAATGGGAGTAAGCTGGTACTCTATGGAAAACAAATATCTTGTTTCAGACCATGAACATCGTAAGGGGTCGCTTTGATGTCGATATTTCTTAAAAGGTGGTACTAGGGGATGGTCCATGACAATCATATACCATCTTGGAAATGGTAATCATCTTGGAGAGTTGGGTGAGGATAGCTTATAGCGTCTGCAGCCTCCTACCTCGGATGAACAGATAAGCAGACGGTTTATATTATATATACAGACAAAGTTGGCCTTGAAATATATATCTTGAGGCGTAACCATCACGTAGAATTACTCACGAGTTTCCATAAATCATCTTCATTAGTTCGTCTCATATATACATTATACATATAATGTGTATGTGTGTATATACGCACTTTGTTATTCTCCTTGTTCACAAATTCATATTCACACATAATTCACCTCAATTTAGATACAATCGATTGCATTGTCCAGATCGAGATACTGTACTAGACTTGTAACTAGACAATTTGTACGCATGTTCGGACTATTGGCTACCGGTCAATACATAGGTTAAGTAGGCTCTCGTGGCCTCATGGCAAGACCAAACAACCTTAACTTTTGGTCTCATGGCAAGACCAAACAACCTTAACTTTTGGTCTCATGGCAAGACCAAACAACCTTAACTTTTGGTCCCAAGGCAAGACCAAACAACCTTAACTTTTGGTGCCAAGGCACGACCAAACACCCTTAACTTTTGGTCCCAAGACAAGACCAAACAACCTTAACTTTTGATCTCATGTCAAGACCAAACAACCTTAACTTTTGATCTCCTGGCAAGACCAAACAACCCTAACCTTGACCCCTCAACCATGACCTCAGGGCACTGACCTTCTGACCGGCGGTGGTCAGCCACAGATGGCGCTCCTCCACGAACTGCACCAGCGGAAGAGACTCAATTAATATTAAGATCTTTATTTAATAAAATACAATATAACTCATATATACATAAATAAGAAAAAACAATAATATTAAGATCTAAACAGTAACGCACAGTCACGTGCGTTACTATACACAAATATATAAGAGAAACATCTTATTTTACTGAAGAAAACATATGAAAAGTCTGTGTAAGAGACATATTAGAGAATATTACAGATTAGATATATTATTTAAACAAAATCATCGTGTCTCTAACATGAACGGCATTTTGTATATTTATGTAACAAAGGAACAAAAATGACTGAATCTAACACCAGCAACACCATGAGGGTTCCCGAGGGCCCAGCTGGCCCCCTGGTCCTACTGGAGGATCAAATATTCATTAAAAAGAGCGTAAGCCCCCAAGTTTCTCACCCATTTCCACCATATTGGCGCCGCCAACGCTGTCACCAAACCATTTTCCTCGGCTCATACATATATGTAGTATTAAGTGGGAAAAAAACACGCAATATCTTAATATTTATAAGAGTATCGAAGAGGGTAAACAAGCACCTATATATGTTGAAAAAGGAATTGAAATTGAAATTGAAATAAGTTTATTGAGGTAAAATACACACAAAGGGATGAGGTAGCTCAAGCTATTCTCACCCCGTTCAGTACATCGTGTTAATACATACATAGACACACATCACAAACAATAAACATGTTACCAAACATTCTGAGTTGAAAAAGGAAGACCCACCTTTAGATAAGAAGTGGGCACGTATCCAACAGCAGCGGTGCGCAGGGCCATTACTCCCGTCCACATGGCGCTGTCCTCCACCACCTAAAAAATGATAAACGAGAATAATCGTGTCATTACCGGATCAACGTGCCTGACTAATAGCATTTAATAACGTGTAATTCCATATATACTCCTACTACAAATCGATATACAATACGGCGATAGCAAAGCAAAAAACATTTAATGAAGCGGAACTACCCGGAACAGTAACTATAATATCATTGCTTATGGAAACTCAGTAGCAGACCTTCCGATATATGTCCCCCGCCACACACACACACACACACACACCAGAAAAGAAGGAAATTACAATGTATACAAAATAAACGCGAACAAAGACACTAGACGCTATTGTTGTGTATGCAGCTTCAGTATGGAACCCTTGCCTTAAAAATCACGACGAAGCGAAAAAAAATATCCAAAGGCTCGCTCCTGAGCAGAGGGTCCTGGGCTATGAGGAAATGCTAAGGGAACTGGAACCTCACCACATTGCAGTAAAAGATGAATAAAAGGGACATGATAGCGATATACAAGATTCTATGGAGCTCTGACATGGACAAAGCGACATTGTTCAAAGCAAGGAACCGCAGAAAGAGGAGCAAAAGATGGAAAACTGAGACACAAATAAATCACAGATGTCAGAAAGATTTTTTTCACCGTGAAAGTAATAGAGTAAATTAAATTAAAGTTGATGTTAGCCCAATACACAAGTTTCAATGTATGGCGTCACTGCATTAAACTACTGATATTCGAACAGCTGAGCTTAAAAGTAGACACTCGATTCTGTAGAGCACATCTAGGTGAGTACGTGTAAGGCACCTCCAGGCGAGGACATGCAGGGCAGAACACACACACTGTACAAAATCACGCATGGAACATCGACCCATCAAAGTCATCCATACCTCAACACTGGCATCGAGTCACGTGTCTCACAACACTGACAACACGCTCACAATGCGTGTCTTACAACACAACTAGGTGAGTACTGACGTGGGTCTCACAACACACAAGGAAGGTTTGTGGTCTCGCTACAAACCATCCATAACCCCAAGGAGAAAGACATTATAATGCTGGCAATAATCAAAATTGATCCAGCCAAGAAGAAAAACAAAATAGGCCACACACGGCATCTACACCAAAACACAGCTGGTATATACATTTTTGTATTAACGCTAAGACTCGGTGATATACGTGATTGCTGGGGGCTAATCTACAACTCGAGAGCCTAGGCTTTGTATCACACGGTCATCTGACTCCAGACGCTTGTCTTACACCATACAGTCTTTAAAAGTTATGGAGTCATCCTCAATTACTTCCTCTGTTAAGTCATTTCCTCCTTCGCCCATTTGCCCGGACACAGGAGAAATATTTCCTACTCTACCACCGACTCGTTTCTTCTTCTAATTTCTATATATATGCTCTCGTTCCGTCCCCACCTAGGCTCTGAGAGAGAGAGAGAGAGAGAGAGAGAGAGAGAGAGAGAGAGAGAGAGAGAGAGAGAGAGAGAGAGAGAGAGAGAGAGAGAGAGAGAGAGAGAGAGAGAGAGAGAGAGAGAGAGAGAGAGAGAGAGAGAGTGTGAGAGAGTGTGAGAGAGAGAGTGTGAAAGTGAGTGTGAGAGAGAGTGAGAGTGTGTGTGAGTGTGAGTGTGAGTGAGAGTGAGAGTGAGAGTAAGAGAGTGAGGGAGGAGGAGGTAGTAGTAGTAGCAGTAGAAGATACAGTATTTATATTAAAATTTCCTAAGCTGTTTATTGAAAAACAACAGATAGCCAACATTTAAAATCAAGACCAGATGCAATTAAGCATTAAGTGATCAGATTAAGCAGTCCTCGAAGCGTAGTGGTTAAGACACTCGCCTGGCGTTACGCGAGCGCTTTGTCCTGGGTTCGTATCCTGGCGAGGAAGGATTTACTGGGCGTCAATCCTTAATTGTAGCCTCTGTTTACCCAACAGTAAAATGGGTACCTGGTTGTTAAACGATTTGGCGGGTCGTATTCCGGGGAATATTAGGATTAAGGACTTGCCCGAAACGCTACGCGTGCTAGTGGCTGCACGAGAATGTAAGAACTCTTGTAAATATAAATAAATTACAAAGATATAAATGCAAATCTAGACGAGAGCAGAGCACGCAGCGTGGACCAAGAGGAGCCAGCGGGACTGCCGCTCCCCGCCTCCACCCTCCTCAATTACGTAACATAATAAGCCAAGTCTGATGGAAATTCCCACGAACCCTTTTCCAAGAACACGAAGTGGCAGATGCGGGTGGAAGTCGAGGGAGGGATCTAGGTTAGAGTTTACACAGATTGGGAACCAAGAAAATCGGTTGCCGAGATATCGAATAAAAGTGTTTTGATTGAGATATCGTCAGTGGCTGGAAATTAGGAACCGGCTATCAGTGGTCAGTTGACGGTATTTGAATATGATGGCGCGGTTATGCAAGGGGGGGGGGAGGCTATACGAATGGGTAATTTTATTTGTTCAAACTACTTACGGTCGATCTGGTGTAATATATAGCAGTACCGTTTATTTCAATATATTTTGAACATATATAAATAAAAGGATAATTGTGTTTATTTACTACCGTTACAGGTTCAGTTTAGCTATGAATTATGTTTATTATGATTCAGTTTATTATGCACCTCATACCCATTATGTCGGCTTTAGTGGGAAAGAAAAGACAAGCGTATTAGGCTCAGAGCCTCTGTAACCATTTAATCTACCGCGTCCAGGCCAGGTTCGGGACTAGGCTTTAATTTGTCGATTATATTGTACAGTTTCCTCAACTAACTTGGGCTTGATGATACTGTTGTTAGAGCTATAGATGTTGATATTGGCCTTTACTGCATCCCGTCTTTACTCATGTCACTTACTACCTGTACACTGAGGAAATATTTCCCTATGGCTTCTTGACGCTTTGTATCCTCAGGACTGTTTTTTTTTTCCTATGCTCAACTGGTTATTTTTGTCCACGTTATCTATATCTCTCTAGTGTCTCTTATTTCTGGTAACAGAAAGCAGTGTCTTTAGACCTGGTCGACGACCGGGCCGCGGGGGTCGCTGAGCCCCGAAATCACCTCAAGGTAACCTAGCAGCCTCATGATAAACCTATGAACTATGTATTGCGTTTTATTTTGCTCTATAAAATGCTGGTGTTGTATCACTCTAGCACTGATCTCACGTATAAGTTAACTATATAAACTAGACCTTAATATAAACCTACATGCTGCTTTTTATATGATAAAGACACCGTCTTAAAAAAATTTTGAGATTATTAAAGCCAAATTTTATGTAGCACCTAAAATTTTAACGATGAATTGCAGTCGCCGGGGAGTTAAAATTATAATAGATTTTTTTTTAATAAGCTAAAGTTTAATCGAAATTTTTGTTAAGGGTAGATTCTAATCAAATGCACGAGTTGAGGGACTGAACCCGATGTTCTATAGGTTAAGCAGTATACAAGTGTGGTATTTTGTTCTCTTTGTATTATGCACCCCATACCCATCCCGTGGGCGGTGGTGGAAAGAGTTACAGAGGCACATAATCGGTTCAGGAACGTGGTTACAGAGGCACATAATCGGTTCAGGAACGTGGTTACAGAGGTACATAATCGGTTTGGGAACGTGGTTACAGAGGCACATAATCGGTTCAGGAACGTGGTTACAGAGGCACATAATCGGTTCAGGAACGTAGTAACAGGGTTTTGTTGTCTCAAGTTTGTTCCACCTTTACGAGGGTGTCCATTAATGTAACTGTAACCCTTTATGTTAATTAAGCTCAACTAACCAAACCTGTGAATTGACAGTTGATGTAAATATAATAGGATCAGTTTATGAGTGTGCCTGCGTAACCTTTCCCACTATCGCAGGACAAGTATTAGGTGCATAATAAATAAACTATCTTACATATATACAAAACTAGATTAAAACAAATAATAACTGCAGCCTAACATTACAGTCAACCCAGCAAAACTTACCGCGAACAAATCCCCTTTCTTGAACGTCAGGACGAGCGACTTGTTAGCATTATCGTCATCTTCGTAATCATGGGATTGTGGAGGAGCATTACTGCAACCAGCAACGGCATCATTATAACTTCTACTGTCATATGGATTTACCGAAGGAGGCGGATATTCCCCAAGACCACTGTCTCGCTCCTCGTCTTCTGTACAGTCTCTTTTACCTCTACCGTTTTCTCTCCTCGACTCAACACAAACTCCACTATCAATCGACTTCGCGCGATCTTTAACTCTAACACTGAGCATTCCGTGGTCACCTTCCCTCAAGGTGTTTGCTGAGATGCTCAACTTGACCCGGTCATCCTCGCCAAACCTCTCTCTCTCATCATCACTACTATACGTGTATTTAGCATCATCCTCATCACCGGCCGTGTACTCACACGGGATGCCCACAGCCTCCGACCTTTGCCTCAGGTAAGCTAACACCAGATCCTCAGAAAAATCAGCGACTGCTTTATGTATTTCCATACTAGTGTAAACCCAAAAAATAGGTTACAACTCCATTAAATATTTGTTTTTCTAGATTATAAAATAATGCCGAAAACAATGATACACTTATATATGTAACTTTCTTGTAAGTTTCTGCAAGAAAGTATAGCTGGGCCAGTAAGACCGGTTGAAGGCGACACACCGGAGAGGTCACACTAGGGAGAAGCCACAAGCAAGACTAAGCGAATAATACACCTCGCGAACCGACGCCAAAATATCGACCCTCTGGCCCCTCCCGGTCTGCCCCTCCGGTCATCACAACACACTCTCGCTTCTCTCATATCACCCCTTAAAACCATCTATTTTCAACATATTCTCAGTTTTTAAATAATCAACCATGCTATATGAACATAGTGAAAAAATCTTAAATATACAGCACGGTAGTGAGTGATGTATGGAGGGAGTGAGTTGGTTTAGATAACGGGGTTAAATAAAACTAGTGCTCCTGCCCCCATTACCCCTACAACCCCCACATCATGCTGGGGGTGGAGTGGGTGATTCATTCAGTTTCAGACCCCAACTACTGTACCACTCCCCACTAACCAACCACCCCCATACTACTCAAGCTCCCTACTACGACCATATCGGCGGACACTTTAACAACGTGTCCTGGGCACATTACTAATGCATTAGGCTCTCTACGGGAAAGTTCCCTTGATTTATTTCTTGTAATTTCATTTTATTCCCACACGTGAGTGCGGGAGGCATTGATATTTTTCGTGACATTTGGTCTTTTTGATTTGAAATTATAAGTATTATAAAATAAGCGTAAATGCGATCCAGGTAGAGCCAAAAAATCTGTGAAACAGAACGGAAGTTTATATAACTGTAAGTTTGGTAACATGCCAGGCTGTGCAATATTATTATGACCATTTTGCACGGAACCCTTGCACAAAGCTTCCTCCCCCCCTCCCACCTCCATGCTGCACTGTTGTACCGTTGATCCCCCTCCCTGTTGTACCGTTGATTCCCCCTCCCTGATGTACCGTTGTACCCACCTGCACTGTTGCGGTACAGCTGGTATACTGCTGAGCCATTGTGCAATGCTGTTCTAAATAAAGCTGCGACCGTACCCCCCAAGACGTACTGATCAATTTTTAACATATTATGTATTAACAGAAGTTGTTCTCCTTTATAATATATATATATATATATATATATATATATATATATATATATATATATATATATATATATATATATATATATATGTCGTACCTAGTAGCCAGAACGCACTTTTTGGCCTACTATGCAAGGTCCGATTTGCCTAATAAGCCAAGTTTACCTGAATTAATATATTTTTTCTAATTTTTTCTTATGAAATGATAAAGCTACCCATTTCATTATGTATGAGGTCAATTTTTTTTTATTGGAGTTAAAATTAACGTAGATATATGACCGAACCTAACCAACCCTACCTAACCTAACCTAACCTATCTTTATAGGTTAGGTTTGGTTAGGTAGCCAAAAAAGTTAGGTTAGGTTAGGTTAGGTAGGTTAGGTAGTCGAAAAACAATTAATTCATGAAAACTTGGCTTATTAGGCAAATCGGGCCTTGCATAGTAGGCTGAGAAGTGCGTTCTGGCTACTAGGTACGACATATATATATATATATATATATATATATATATATATATATATATATATATATATATATATATATACTAACGTTTTATGTATAATAGGCGTAGGATAGGTTAGGTAGGTTCTGTTGGCGATTATTTGTATTTGAAGTACGTGGGTGAAGCATTTATAGCGTTGTCGAACAGAGGCCGTCAGCGAAGCACGTTCAAGAAATGTTCGAAGATCATCAGTTATGAGAGGTATGTAAACCTTTTTTCATTCATAAACAGGGGGTTTGGCGACTGGATTAGCGAGCATTTGTCCTTTGTTGATGAGGACGCCTCTTAAAGGGTACTGTGTCTAAGGCTTTCTGCCAGTCCAAGAAAATTACAGTCTGTCTACCCACCCATCTCTTTCTTGCTTAATGTTTTGTCATCTGGTCATAGAATTTTATTCAACTTGTGACATATGGTTTGGGATCCCTGAACCTATACTGGTGGTTTATTACATAGTTCCGTCTCTCCAGATTGCTAATAGATTTTTCTCTCTACTGTACTCTCAGAAACCCAATGTACCTTTTTGTATATAAATAAATAAATAAATATATATATAAATACATAAATAAATAAATAAATTTACATATTTCCAACCGAAAAACTATAATTTAAGTCCTCAAAATGTCTTAATTTTGAGGCAGACGGTGAAAGTGAGTAGTAAGGGAGGTGAGGAGTGAGGGAGGAAGGTAGTAGTGAGGGAGGTGAGAAGTGAGGGAGGTGAGAGGTGAGGAGTGTGGGAGGTGAGAAGTGAGGGAGGGAGGTGCCGGGGAGCACCAGTGAGCCTCGCGCCGCCACCATGACCAGCGCCATGACTCGGGTGAGAACACTTGCTCCTACTCCTAAGCTATTTTACAAGATATACTCACATGATATTTCCTTCTAGCGATGTTCCCTGCAGGTGTTGCATGAAGAGACTGAGGCGCAGTAGTAATATTTAGGCAGATATCTCCTCTGAGAGAGACAAGGTTCGAGAACCCTGGAAGGAAGATGATTCACGTGTTAAGACGTTTCGTTCACTCGATCTGTTAAGAGAACTATTTTATTTTTTGGGCAAGTGAGCAAATCTGCCACTTTTCAAGTACGGTTTGTGGCGCCTAGAGCCCACTTGGGGGGTTCAGTGAGCTGCGTAATTTGCCTGTGCTTCAGTAACTGCCTTATTGGTCAGTGTACCCTGAAAGAGTGAACTAGGGGGGGGGGGGGGGTAGACTCCCTACTTTGTTCTATACATTGGTAAAGATGCCACAGTATAGGCTATTTTGACAGTGTGCTGATATTGGCACAGTAACTATATATATATTTTTTTAAACTCCTATTAACCCATAATGTGTGGTTGATATTTATTGATCACAACCACTGCAGTTATTGTCATTTGACAATTATCACTATTATTAGTAGTTTTTTTTACAAATGATGTTAATACGGTTATCTGCTGTATATGAATGTAGTGGAGTTAACCAAGACGCAATTCTGCTATTATTTTGTAATTTCCAGCTATGCAACAAGAAAGACTATTGTATTGTGCCATTGGTTATCAAGTTACAATTTGGTCTTTATAATCTATTCCTGGACAACATTCCCAGGTAGAATTCAGCGAAGATGTGGGATGCAATATATTGTAGGCCTGTATAAAATACTCATTCACTTTTTTTTTTTTTTTTAATTACGTATACATAACTTGAGTGATTCAACATGAACAAATTTGTCTAAAGCAGCGTTTCTCAACTGGGATTCCACGGAACCCCAAAGTAACTAGGCATTCTTTAAAGAATGGTAACTAGGCTAATTCTAATATGTAAATGTATTTTTCGGTCAATTTTGTTTAATTTTTGTCATTTAAACAATATTAAGAGCAAAGACAGAAATTCGCCTTTCAGTTGACAATGAAATCCATGTGTGTTTATCTAAAGTATGACTCAGAATCATTTTAAGGGTACAAAGGTCAAGAATGCTGGTCTAAAGTAAACTAATAAGTGAAACGACAAATACCAGAACATCAAAGACGAACCTGTAGGTCCTCTGTCCTCTCCACGACAGCAACTCTCATACGTGGCGTTAAGGAATACAATGACCTCAGCACACGGCTTGCTGTTTTCAGTTCTGGAAACCAGAAAAGACGAATTTTTGTCCCCCCCTCCTTTTCCATACTTTTTGTATTTTAAGGGGTTTATTATTATTTACTGTATAGCAAGTAAAATACATACAGAATGTATGTACCATTCTTGCAAAGCCACTTATTTGCATAACGTTTCAGACACGTGTTAGTATGAAGTCAAAGAATTTACAATTTTATTCATCAGATTTCTTAAATATGAATAAAAAGGTACTCAAAGTTTTTTTTTTTTAAGCCTTACGATTAGAGGTTAAAAACAATAGTATACTTACGATTCAAGAGATTCATCTTGGACATTCCACACCTTTACATGCTGTTCTTAGCACTCGAGAAGAATTTCTGAACAATATCTTGGTCTTGGTCATATTGCTTCAGTTATAAAATGCATTCTTGTTTGGCAGGACTCTGATGTGCACATTACCTACGAAGACCAACAGAAGATCAACAGGTTTGCCCGTTGCAATGCTCGCCATGGAGACGTTAAGGAGGAACTTAAAATTAAGGAGGTAAATTGAAAAAAAGTGAGCTTGCACAACATGGCAAGATATACAGTAAGTCACATTTAAGAACTGCTCTGGTGTAGGGCCATAAATGGAGAAGGCAAGTGAAAATATCTTGTCATTTGTAATGGAAAAACTTTCATTTGTAATGATATTGTATATTAAAAGTTATTAGGTAATCCTAAAGGGGTTTTTCATACTGGGTTCCTCTTTGCTCCTCTTTGCTTCCCAAATAGGGAGATGTTTTGATTTTGTAAGCAAAATTTACTTGGACCAGTGTCAGGCTAAGGTCTGAGACATATTCCAATCTTATAAAAAAAAATTGTTTTTATAAGATTGGATGATGTCTTGTACAATTTAATTTTTAAAGCACTTACTAACCTCATATGGCTTACATAAAGGAATATAAGGTTGTTAAGTGGGCTTTGGTGAAGTAAATTGTTTTTGAGGAAAAGTCTTATTATTATTTGTTTCAATGCTTGTAGCATTTTTTATTTAGTTTATGAAGGAAAGGAAGCTAATGCCAAATATGATCTTATCACGCTGTATTGTTAATATCATGTCCAGCTGAGATTTGGTATTAATCTTGATGGCTCTCCTAAATTAGGAAGAGTTAGCTTTTATCTTAGGCTTACTCATACCTACACTCGGGAGCTTCAAAGTTGCCTGGAGTCTTGATTTTCCTCTCCTTGGAGAGATTTTGGATAGTTTCTTCATTTTAGATTCTAAAAAATATTTTTTTTAGATATGTTCACATACCCCTCACCCTGGGGGGGGTGTGAACTCCATTTAATCCTCTTGGGGTTTTATCTTCATTTGAAGCAATGCCTTTATTACTATTTATCCTAATCTGTCTTTCCTAACTAAAATGAGACTATAGTTTATTATGTCAGTGACATATTTTTATTGATGATATTCCTCTCAGGGGTTCATCTAATGTCTTCTAGATGGTCTGCAAAAGTCTTCAGAAAATTTTGCTGAATTCCAACTGTGTGTCTCGGCTAATTTATCTCGTAGTAGAAGTTGAGTGGGCTGTAGGTTTATGCCAGGGGCTCCCATGACCATTGTTAGTTTTTGACTTAGGCTATCGGTTTCCAAGCTATGAAGCATGCATGAATGAATGGGGACTAGATCATTAGACAAGTCACATCCTGCCAGTGGCAAACATGCATGAGGCATAACTGGAGTGCTATTGGGCTTTGTTTATGTATGTTCTTAATACTTTCAACAATTCCCAAGCCTCTTTATGACCTTACAGGAACACCAGGGTTCCTGTGGCATTGATGATCTCAATTCTTCCTGCTTGCTGTATAGCACAGTAATCACTATAGTATATACAGTAAATACAAAAAATCATATAATGTGAGTTGCCTTGCATGGTTAAAGATTGCAGTTGGTAGATTGGCATGGTGTATAATTTTTGTTGCTTTGTACATTTATTAAAGGTTTAATATTGCCTTTTAAAACTACAACTGCTCAACTGAAATTTGAATTTAATATTTTGGCATTCCCCCCAAAAAGTTTAGTTTGTTGCAGGGTTGGTAAACAAACCTGTGACTCCCACAGTGTTAAGTGTGTAGCTGCCAAGCCATCTGAGGTTGATTGGAATCTGTGTTTTAATAGTACTTTTTGGTTCATTCAGAATGACCTGCAAAACTTGCAAGATGCAGAAGACGAGATGATTCTTGCTCTGGAGAGTGATGAGAAAGTTCCATTCATGGTTGGTGAGGTGTTCATCATGAAGACACAGGTTAGTTGCAAAACATTTGCTTTCAATGAAGAAAACTTCAAAATGTATTTTCGCTACCAAAAGAAAAACTATTCTCAAATATTGAGAAACTCTTCTTGATGGTATACTAATCAAAGATTAGTATACCATTTGGATGGTATTTCCACATAATGGCCGTTGAATGTTAAAATGAAGCAGCATGATTATTCTAGGACTAAGTAGTATTGTATTGGAAAAAACACAATTGTTTGATTGTGGGGTAAATTTTTTGGGTAAATTAATGGGACGAGAGGGTAAAGAAAGTGTGCGCCAGTGTGTGGGGGAAAGGCAGTATGAAAAGCCAAATATTGCACTTTTACATTTTAAACTGCTTTTCTCAATATTCTCCTTGTAGAACATTTCTGGGTGGGTGTCCAGGCCATTCTCTCCAATCACTCTGTTTGGCACTACTGTTCACTTGTTCTCACACACTATTAAAATTATACTGTTTTGCCTAATCAAATGTATAAACACAAGCAACCCATGTAACCTATTGAGGCTGATGTGCAGAAAATGTCAATACATGTTATTTTTGCTAATAGCATTTTGAATGGATTCTGTTAAAAATGACATTTACTCGGTGAGAGAATGGGATGGCAGTCTATTGTATCATTTAAGTATGAATCTGGATAATTATAGGTGTAAAAATCTTGAGCAAAAAGCTACTTGCCATTTTTTTTTTTTTTTTTTTAATACCCTAATTGGGCTAAACTAAACGGTTGGCTAGGTTTGCATCCAGTGGTCTGGTGCTGTTTGGAACTTTCAATTTCTTAATGTGAAGGAATGTTGATTTTTATTATTTATGATTGAGGGCCTAATAAGATGCATCAGTTAGTGTTATAAATGTCAATACGAGAATTGTGGCAGTTATTGTCAAGTGATGCGGCTGTATTGGTTATGTGAGGGAAGCAATAATTTTTTTAGCTAGTTCTCTGTACAGGCAAGCATGTGACATTCTATTAGTATGAGAGAGCCAATGACATGAACTCATGATGGTCAGTATTCTCAGGTAGGAGAAAGGGAAGATGTTATGCTTGATTCATATTCATATAGAAAGGGTGCAAATGTTTTAAATTTTGTCTGGAGCCTTTATTAAGTCTATTCTCTCCATAACAAAAATTGCAATGTGACTCATCACTCCACTATTTTATATATTAAGGACGAAGCACAGGAAGCCATCAGTGGACAGAGGGAAGACTTGCAAGAGGAAATCAGCAACCTCAACAGCCGAGCTAGTGAGCTACAAGATACAATGACTCACCTAAAGAGTGATCTTTATGCAAAATTCGGGAATAACATTAATTTAGAACCTGAAGAAGAGTGAAGAAAAGCTTGGATATCAATTAATGCCTTTTTACTAATTTTAAGTATTTTAAAGATACTGTATAGTCTAGCCATTTCTTCGGTCCCGTATTTGTTTACACTATCTTCAACAACGGATATTAAATACTCCTCACATCAATAAGGTTGATTGTTTGCAGATTGGGTGTCGATTGTCATTTACATCTTGAAGCTATGCCCAAAATCTAGTCAGAGTATTAGTATCCTATGACATGGTTAGTGGTGAGCTAACGTCTTTTGTATTGTATGTGCCTATAATCAATAATTTGTAATGGGTTCTTGTTGCCAAGTGTTGCCTTAGGAATTTGTATAGTGTGCTTTTATTACACAAAACATTTCCCATTTATTTTGTTCAATCAGTATGCATAATAGGTCCGAGTATTTTTTTTTTATATAACCCAATAAGTACTTTTTTCTTTATAACCCATTATTAAACCTGATAACTAAATGTTTTGTTTCTTGAACATTTAACAGCTGGTAGGTGTAGTTAAGCAAATAAAAAATACTAAGTAAAAATATTAATAATTTTATTAAAAAATATATATTACATTAATTTTATAAACCCACACTGGAAAACCATACAATTTTATACGATAATTTAGTATTTCGTACATGCTTCAGAGTCTGCTTACCAAGGTAAAATGTGATGTCAATACCATAATAAGATTGGTTTTTGCACAAATTGATTTGAATATGCATTATTAAGCACAGGCACACTTCTAATGTATCAGATAACATTAATACCTTTGCAAACAATTGTTTCCGATAATTAAAATTCACTTGTCGCCCAGAAATTTTTTATTTCAACCCTTTTGTTAATTACCATGATGAAATTATAAAATTTCTTCATTAAACTTTAGTGTTTATTAGGGAAATGTAGTACACAATGGCACTGATAAATGACAAAAATGGCATCTCTATTTAAAATACACAGTGGTGATAGTCATGTAAGCCGCTTCACCAAGTGATAATTTACAGTTGAAAGGTTCAAAAGGCACCAAGCCTCGAAAACTGTTTGGCAGTCTGTGGAACAGAAGTCAAAAAGTCTTAGGTATCATTCAAGATGCCAATATGAAAGAGAGGAAGACGACTGATGGTGTCAAAAGGTATTTGATACACCAAGGAAAGCATGACTGACAATGGAAAAGCAAAATTACCAAACAATGAAAACTGACATTAATATGAGGTGCACAACAATGCGGTTCTGACATTAAGGTGAAAGTACGTTCTATAGTGCCTATGCATTAATCGTGCAAGGCCATTATGTAACCTAGCCAGAGATGCTTCCCACTTTTGGGTATGAGGAAGGTTACATAATACACCATGTAACATTCTTAATAGCTAACATCTATTAAGTTCATTTCTTTGAGATGGGACAAGCACGATCAGCTAAGAATCCAGCAAAATTTTGAGTCTTTGCTTGCTAAAGATGTGCAACAGCCTGTGTTGGATTTCAATCGCTGCAAAATTTAATACAACAAGAGCCATGAAAACTACATTAAGTAGCCCTAGCTGGGCAGCCACCAAGTTCACCAATGGGTGTAAACGTGAGCATTACATATAGTGGAGAGGTACCTGGCATTGCTCGGGTAATTGCAGCCACATCTTTGCTACACACTACCCTCCACACTGTACTCACCTTCACTGCACAATCCCATCAATAAAGACAAACTAACATTTATTGATTGTGTAGAAAATTATATGCTGAATTTTAGTGAGGATAGGGTCTGGTATTTGGCAATTGGAAATTGATATAAATTGCTCTTTCATGAAAAACAAAGGGGCACGGGAGTCGTTCCCAAACCAAGACCAGTCACCTTGGAAAGCTTGGTGAGGCTAGCCCCAAGCATCTGGCCTCTCTCCACCATTCTCTCTTTACATGTCTATTAAAAATCAAGCAAGGGGGAAAAAGTGATTATAAATTATCCAATGAAGGCACCAAGTCTGGAAGATATACAATACTGTAGTCACAAAATATGCAATTCTTTAAGATGGAAAAAGAAGTCATTGTCAACACTGCCTTTAAAATGATTAAATTTGGATATCCAGCAGTTTATAAAATTTTTATATCTTAGACACAGGCTATGGAACTCTGCTTTATTGTTTATTTAGTAGCATTAATCAATCATACTCTGGCTGAGTGGGATTCATGAGACAAAGGCCTTGGCAACAAAGACTCTTCGTGCCTTGGGCTGTATATGGATCGCCTGCATTCAGACAAGTTGACTAATCCGTTAATGTGTAGACCAGCGTTTCTCAACGTTTTCACGCTTGCAGAATCCTTTAAAATTATTTCATGTCTCGAGAAACACCCCTACATAAAAATTAATAAATATATGATCTAATAAAAAATTAAAGAAATTACAATGTTCCCTTGGAATCTCAGTTGTAAATGCTGATAGACACTTACATTTATGCAAAAACATAAATTAAACTAAGCAATGACTGTACAGTACTTCAAATAATATACAGTACAAGTAAATTAAGTAATTATCAAAAGAAGGCACCAAGCTGGGAAGGCTATGTAGCAACAGTACAAGTAAAGCATTTTTGAGTATACAATACTAAAGCTGAATTGCCTGGTAATATAAATATATAAATACCCTAAACATGGATTCAAAAGTACATACATCATTGTTGTCATTGCCACAAACAACTATATACAGTAGCAAGGAAAATCTTAAAATGGAATAACATTTTTAAATATAAATGTTACTCCAATCCTCTTCACTCTGCAGTTTGAGTGACTAGCACTATTCAGATGAACACAAGACTAGTATCTTCCACTTTCATAAACAAGTTCAAGTATGTTTATTGAGATAAGCAATAAATACATCTCAAAGGGATAGAGTAGCTTAGGCTATTTCTACCCCCCACTTTCATAAACAGCTGACTCTTGACCAGCATGAGGGATGCACTCCATTTAATCCTGATGCAAAGTGATGTCTACTTTGTGGACAAAATTTAAAGACAATCGAGACACACTCCACTGATGCTTTATCAGAAAGGCATTTCGTTGCATTTAAGAGGCTGAAGCTAACTCTTCCTCTGTGGTGAGTAACAAGAGATTCACTTAACTAGCTTTGATGATACTTTTGACATAGGAACTGAGACTTTGAACAGGGGATCAAGGAAGTGGCTTTAACCAACAAGGTGTCCATTGATGATGCCACAATTAAGCAATAAAAAGGCAGAAGAAAAAGCAGGTGAAGCAAGAGCCAATGACAGGTGGGCAGAGCCACAAACCCAATAGTTCTAGCAGCAATGAAATAGGCAGAACCAGAAGAACCAGTACAACACCTGGAGTTAAACTTTGCCTAGGGTAAAATATCACACAGGCAAATTTCAGGCTCCTGCATAACAGCCTGACCAGCTGAGAAATCATTAAGGGCTGATCTGACACCAGACGGCGACGATGCTGCTGGTGGAACAGGGCTGCAGGAGCCAGAAGTTCTAAACGAAGCCTGGCCAGGTTCGAACCCAAAATGAAACCAACTGGAACTTCCACCACTTCACCAGGAACTCGAGCCTGACAAGCTGGGAAGAAATCAGATCCTGGGGGGGGGGGGGTTCTAATGCTTTCCCAGCTAACTGGAGGTTCAAACCAGCCAGTTGTCAAAGTAGACTATGCAAACCCCCTAATAGACACAGCCGGGTCACAACTACCCATGCTAATGTAAAAATTTGGGGAGCGAGAATCAACTCCGAGGGCAAAATTTTGAAGTGGTAGGCCTGACCCCCATAGTGAAACTTAACCAGTTTCTGAACCTTCAATGAATAATATACGTCCTTATGGTCCAGGAACACCATCCAAGAATCTGTCTGCAAGACCAGGCAAACCTGAGCCAGAGTGGTCGTGCAGAAGATAAGACAGGAAATGAAGCCATTCAATCCCAACAGACTGAGGTCTGCCGAGTCCTGTTTTGGCACCAGGAACAACCAGGAAACTCACTGAAGAGACGAGGTCTTTTGACCACACCAAAACTAACCACGTCGTGATGACCTTGAGCAGCTGTGGAGAGGACTGACCAACTCACCGAAGGAGGAAGGCGACGACCCAAAAGGTCAACAAATCACAGGACCAAGAGCCAGAAAATAAGGCCAAATGCACTCCCCATGGCGCTTTCAAAGGGGCGAACCATGAAATAACTTGATATAATCCTTCCACGATACAGTGGTGCTGACGAGAAGAAGAGGAAACCACAGGAGAGCAAGAGCCTGTGAATCTGATTTCACCGAGAACCTACAGCAACCAACAGCAGCATCCTCAGGAAAAGAAGCAAAGCAAAAAAGGGAAGACAGACAAAAGAGTCAAGGACCAGGCCATATTAAAGAACTGGGCCAGCACAGCCTGCCAATGCAGGAGGCAAGTCAAGTAAGCTGCCATCACCACTTGAAGGATATGGGCAAGGCTGCTGAAGCTGGCACCACAGGCAACAAGGCTTTTACACCCAGGACCAAACCAAGTGAAACCACCCCGTCGTGAAGCTTGTCAGCAAAAATCTCCATGGGAGCCCAAAAGTGCTTGATCATCACCAGGCACAAGCAAGCCTTGTGATCACCCATAATAAGGGCTCCACAGAGCACAGGCAGCTGCACAAGGAGCTACCACTTGCCCACGTCCTTCAGGAGTGCCAGAACAAACAGGCAGTCTTCACGAGAAGAAGCTCTGACCAAATTCCAAATAGAGCACTCTAAGAACACACTTGGACGTTCATTACTGGGTTCTCTTAATAACACGACTCACCTTTACCACATAGTACACTAATATATTTCAAGTGATTATTGTACCTTTTGTATGCTGATGACCATTACCCACTAATACAGTACATTTGAAATGATTTTGGTACTTTATATACATAGCATTACAGTACATGAATATCAGTAGATATCTCTCCATGTACTTGATGTTACTGTATCATTATTAGTCAGTTCATGCATGCTTAGTGAAAACATGACTCTAAGACAGTCTAAAGTGATAATTAAAGACAGGAATTAGGTGTACAGGACCCAGGTGCTAGATACCAAGAGATTTCTAATATGGTACATTAATAATGTACTGTACTTATTCTTTGGTATACCTTGCTAATATACTGTACTCAATTTTCTCAAGTTTCAAAATGCCCTTTAATTTTTTTAGACATTTTCCTAACAGTACAACTGACAAAGATCTAAACTATAAACTTAAAAGTAACTACTATATATCCAGTGAAGTGTTGAAATTCTGGAGAGGTTCTAGAGGGGGCAACCCGTTCTCGCACCTTCTTTAAGTCAATATTGACTTATTAAATAAGTGCATATGTGACATACTAATTTATTGTGAACATTTTAGTTTACCTTAAAAAGCTTCATAGAAAACACCGACCTTACCTAACCTTCTTAGTATGTTAAGATAAGCATCTTATTGCTTCATAATTACAATTATTACTTAACCAATTATAGGTATAGGTTAAGTAATAATTGTAATTACCAATTATAGGTATAGGTTAAGTAATAATTGTAATTACGAAGCAATAAGATTCTTATCTTAACATACTAAGAAGGTTAGGTAAGGTCGGTGTTTTCTATGAAGGTTTTCAAGGTAAACTAAAATATTCACAATAAATTAGTATGTCACATATGCATGTATTTAATAAGTCAATATTGAATATAAGAAAGTGCGAGAACGGGTTGGAGGGGGAGGGTAGGGGGGAATGTGATTTTTTGGAAATTGAAAATTTTCAGTTTTGAGATATTGGGTACACCTTGATTACTAGAGAACCTTTGTGTAATTTCACAAGTGTTCTATGCACAGTATAAAATACTGTGTAGGTTTTGTAACATAACTTGTGTAGAACTATATAATGAAATGCATCAAAAGATGGCAACCACCTGTTCTGGATTTGGGAATTATTTTTAAAATATTAGAAAGAATTAAATAATATTTTTTGTTAAATCTTCTGGGTTTTAGGAGTTTCCAGTTATTACAAGTCCAAATATTTAAGGGGCCGAAATACTTAAAAATATTTAAATTATATGAAAATTACTATTAATTGTTAAACAAAACTCCAATTATTCGGCATTAGAATCGTGAAAGTTTCATCCCAATATGTTAAAAAATGGATTCTATATGAATACTTCAAAATAAAAACCGTTTTGTTGATAAAGAGAATAGCTCTTATTAGCTGGAACTGAAGGATAATGCAGTAACAAAGAGAAGCAAACACCCGTCCGGTGCACAAAGAATAACCACAGTCTTAAGGAGGGTCCAAAAGGTGGATATGCAACTGATGTGTTTCTATCATTGCCGAATAATACACAGTAACAAATAATTATGAATAAGTATGTTGTTATGCTGTATTTTGTTATATATTATATAAATACATTGCCCTATGCCAATATCTGTTATTTCCACCAATGTCTAACAATTGTTTTGGAGGATGTGGGGAAGGATTGGAGGATGTGGGGAAGGATTGGAGGATGTGGGGAAGGATTAGAGAATGTGGGGAAGGATTGGAGGATGTGGGGAAGGATTAGAGAATGTGGGGAAGGATTGGAGAATGTGGGGAAGGATTGGAGGATGTGGGGAAGGATTGGAGGATGTGGGGAAGGATTCTTTTTCCTCCTTTGTTTATAATTTGATTTTATTGTAGCTTCTACATCTTCGAGAATGCATATCCATCACAAAGTATTTGAAGTTTGAACAATATTGGTGAACATGTTAATCAGCCACAGGTGGCAGAAGTTGACTTCTATTTTGGGGGGGGGGGGGGGGGGGGGTTGCAGGAAAATTTACAGATTTCAAAATCTATTTTCTTTGTCTCTTTAGGTTGTATATGAATGGGGACCAGATGTGGGCCTTATCACTTATATAAAGTGTAATTATTATCCTTGTTAACCCATTATCCTTTATCCCTACATTTAATTTTTTGGGGGGGTTATTTTTTCTTGACTTCATTTCAACACATATTGATCTACAACTTTCACATATTCGAGTACAAATACCAAGCAATGTTTATTAAAACATACAAGAACATTCATAAATTAGAACTACTATTATTCGTTGTCGATGTCTTCAACTTTAATTATCTCACACTAGAATTTCAACTTTAAAGACGTAATGAAAAATCCAGTTTCTGAGCGATTTTCACCATTTTTTACATATGTGCAAAGTTCTTAGTTCTAAGGTTTCATTGCTTCCACTTATTCATAAACCCATAACTTTGGGAGTTATCAATTTTGTTGTCTAAAAAACAGTGTATATTTTGAAGGCCACATTGAGCATTTTTTTTTTACAGTAAAATATACAGTACTGTACTCTAAAACAATATTTTAAGGCAATGAAAATTAAGTATAAATGCCATTCTGAGCCCAAAATGACTTAAAATAAAAATTGGTGAAAGTTTCGATTTTTCATTAGAATTTGTGAAATTTTTAAAACAAATTTTTTTTATTTATATTGTTCATACTTGAGCATTGAATCATAAGGAAAGGTTAGAGCATATACCGTGTGGATTATGCACTACAAATTTGAGTACAGTATGTTTGCGGAAGGCTGAGAACGTCATTATTTTCAAGATTCCGGCCCCTTAACACTTCACTGTACAATATATGTATACATATATATACATTGCAAATATACATATTTTAGGTATATAAATTGACCTCAAGATGCCCAATGAAACAATTTACAGAGGATGAGTAAGTGCCATGCCCTTTTCTTCGTATTTTCAGACGCTGTTATTACCGTCTTCCTGGTTTTTCTTAACACTTATACCTTCCTCTTTCATATATCTGCTGTTTCCCCAAGAGCATACATCCTCAAACGTTTAACCATCTTAATTTCTTCTCAAAAGTTACTTGAGACCTTTCAAACCAAGTGTTATGCCAGTGTGTCTACATAACACAGCTAGACTTACAGTTTGTCGGGAATTCTTGCCATTTAAGAGGAGATAACTTGAAATACAAAACTTTGGGATAGATTTATTCATCATCTTGCTCAAAAGGGGAGGTAGGAGCAAGTGTTATGAGAAGGAAAGACAATATTCATTAACCTTGACATCTAACTCCTACCTAAAAAGTAGATACACGTGTCCAAGTGTTTCAGGTATGTATCGTGTCATTTAGGGGAAACAGGATTTTTCACAAATATTGAGATGGTGTATATCAAGTTTGATGTAAACATTAATTTTTATTTATACAGTATTCTATTGTGTCAAACTTTTCAAAGAAACTCTTAAAAATGACTGAAAATTTTAATTTTAACGAGGATGAATTCATTAGGTTAATAAGAAACTAAAACACTTGCCACTTCCCTATTCTGTGGTATACGGGTTCACAAAAAATTAGCCCTACATGAGCATTTATGCAAAAGTGTAAATGGGGGGGAGGGGGTTAATTCTTGGACAAGGACTTCTTTCAAGGAGGGTAAATCAAAGTTAACAAAAAATAACGAGTAGCAGGCCACTATCATTTCAATAAGGAAAATATAAATGGATGATATTGCAGTACCCTTGCTTGACCAAGGGCAAGCAGCGGCACTGCTTGCACGAGGCGACTAGGGCTAGTCGGCCTACTACACCACCTGACTGAACATTGCATGAGGCTGCTTATCCGCTGAATTGTCTTGGACAAGAATGAGCTGTCCAAATATCATTCCCTTAATGATTTGTACTAAAAAACTTGAGATCCTGTATTTGCCAGAGACAAAAATATTTCATTTACTTACAAACTAATGAATAACATTGATTTTAATAATTACATCTTAATGTTTATGGTGTCACTAGCAAGCGTCTTAAACTTCATTACAATTACATAGTTTCCTGGAACATAAAAGCCACAAAGATGCTCATTTACCATGGAAGTGGAAAAAACACTGATATTGCCTTATTATAGAAAACTTCCGCCCAATTCTTAGTAAATAAAGGATTTTTACTAATAAGTACAAATGAGATGTAATATGTCTAGTCTACTACCTCGCAAAATGCATCTTCTAATAAATGTGGCTCTACAGAATGACAAAACACCATTCGGTATCTTTGGCAATAACAATGATTCTTTATACTGTAAATATATTGTTACCTAAGCTAGTCATATAATGGAAGAAACTGGAAGCCTGACCACTGACAAAACTCTTACCTGAGTACACATGGTTATATCTTCAAGGAATCTTCCAAGAATTAAATATGGAATGCTTCAGTAAGAAGAACCTTTAAATTAAAATATTTGTCTACACCTGGCATTAAATAAGCAAAGTCCACATTTACATAAATATTTCAGTGAGAGTACACAGAGCAGCTATGATAAAACATTGGCTATATTACATGTCAATTCTAATGCAAGATATTATTACAGTTTCATCACATTAAGTGATTCCCTCTGGACTGCTGTACTGAAATTAACTAACATTTTAAAACAATTTCTTTACAAAGACAAAATATACAAATAATCTGACAATAAGAGACAAATAAGTCATCTCATAAGAAATGGACACACATGAAGCAAAATGAGTGTTCTAACGATACCAAATACTCACACACCAGTCGAGGATGGCACATGTGCTGCATCTCAGATCCAGTACATATTAATTATTGTAATTAATGTACAACATTCCAAAGTGACGAGCAACTGTAAACACGCATATTATAAGTTATCTTGATATCAGTAATGTGATGTAGATTAAAAGATTTCTAACTTCAGAGAACTCGTCCAAAAATAAATACAAAATAAATGTGCTATGTATTCTGCCTTTGTTTTAATTTTGAACAAATACTTGAGAAAGAAAATACTAAAAAAAAGGCAACATTATTTAGGATTGTATTATAAATCTTTCAAGACTTAAAATCAAGCATGGTACAGTAATTTTGCTTTATATAAATGCATTACCCTTATAAAAACCCTTTCAAGCATCCATTCATTATGGTTACATAGAGCTGTCATTTGACAGGAAACAAGATCTGTTACTTTCCGTTACATATTTACAATCTTCACAACACACACACACATATACAGGGGGGTCTCGCGGCTGATTGGACAGTGCTTGGGGGTGTCATAGTTCTAATGGCCAGGGTTCGATTCCCGGCAGAGGCGGAAACAAATGGGCAGTGTCTTTCACCCTGATGCTCTGTTCATCTGACAGTAAATAGGTACCTGGGAGTTAGACAGCTGCTACGGGCTGCTTCCTGGGAATATGTGTGTGTGTGTGTGTGTGTGTGTGTTAGAAAGAAATATGTGTGTAGATATAATAGAGGAAAAATAGATTGGTTAGGAAGGCAGGGTCATAGAGCTAATAGCTCTATTCTACAGACACAAATAGTAAATAAATACACGCACACACAATATATTTATATCTATATACAGTACATATCCAGAATATTGAATTTCTAAAAGGTAGCACTAGCATTCAGATAACAAAAATAAAAAAATGGAAATACCAGAGACAAAACTAAATGCTACAAATGTTCCATAAAAAGGCATTCTTATCAAGTAATGAGATTAAATTGCCGATAACGCACTCACTTCATCACTGAAAGTGAGACTGTTATATTTTCATATTATTTGAGATTTTTGTGTTGCAATATTTGAGATTATCACTTTGAATAACACTGAGGTATGTTGTCTCTTACAAGAGAGAACAAAAACTACAAAAACATTAATTAAAAACAATCGTCCGAGAAATGGAACTATAGAAAATGTGGCCTAACAAGGCCATCATATTGACAATAAAAACACCTAACTGTTGAGTAAAATGAATGCAAAAGTTGACCAAAATGTACAACAGAAAAAGTATGAATGATTTATATGGTATATTAACAACAAAAATCATACATGACATTCCAAAATTTATAGAAAATATTTATAACTGCCCAACAAACTAAAATATCAGCTCCATGGCATACATAAGATGTTTATTGCACTGTTTAGTTCAATGCACACATACAATGCATGTATATAAGTGTTGTAACGTACCTGCTGCAGCTGACACTTGAAGCAGCTTCCCATTATCACAGATGACCACCAACATTGTCACGCACCAGTACAGGCATCTACTTCTACCCTTCATCATAGTATCAGTAATAATGCTGCTACTCACCATCACAGTACTAATAGTGATGTCACTACCATCAGAATACCAATAGTGATGCAGCTGCTTACTATCACAGAACTAACAGCGATGCCACTACTCACCATCACAAAGCTAATTGTGATGCAACTATCCATGATCACAGTACAGTACTAATAGTGAAGCCACTATTCACCATCATAGTACTAATAGTGAAGCCACTACTTACCATCACAGTACTAATAGTGAGGCTGCTACTCACCACCACTACTAACAGTGATGCTGCTACTCACCATCACAGTGAATGTAGTGAAGGCTGTTCCCCAGGTGAACTACACCCTCTCGTGCTGTAGGACAGTACCCACATTAATACATTCCTCAAGCACATGGATACTTTTCTTAATCTAGTCTACTCATTATAATATACAAGACTGCATAGAAGAAAATTTAAGCAATACAATATCTACAGATCCCTAAGAAAGTTAGAATCGGTGTTTGATAAGATACTCTAATCAAGCTTTCTATAGATATGCACTACACAAGTGAATAAGTAACCAAAGCTATACAGTAAACACTAAATAGCCACTACACTAACCTATGAAACCAAACTGTTCTGTAGCATCTACGGCAGAATCAACTTTACAATCATCCTCGTTCTCTTCGTTTGTCTGTCCTCTGCACTCCTGCTGCTTCATAGAGTCCATCTCCATAATTTGTCTGAGTCTGGGTTCAACATCGCCAAGTAACGGACGCTTCGAAGGATCACCCGCCCAACACTCTTGCATGAGTTCCCAGGAATTGTCCTCAAACACAGGCAGTCGTTCTGGCCGCGCACCTGGATATATATGGGTGAGCAATACTGAACTGTATTACAGACACTTTTACTGAAAATGTTAACATTAACCATATGCAGACTCAAAGGAGACTTATTATTAATATTGTATTAACATGCATAAGTACTTTGTAAACTTAATCATGTAATTGTACTGTACGGTATGTAACGTATGCATTCTGTTGAGAAAGGTGCAAATGTTGACAAAATGAATAAAGTATGGCTCTTGGAACAGAAAAGCTATACATTACTCTAAGATTATTAAATTTCAAAACTACTATTAACACTTTGCAGATGCTTTACATTAGAATTTGTACAAGTGCAAGTGTTACGACAGCTCAGTATACATATACCCTGTATTATTATAATATTAATATATATATATATATATATATATATATATTGTGACGATAATCTCCTTCAAGAGATTGAGCCTGCTCTTCCCTCCATAATTACGTCTTCACAATTATATAAAAGACTATGGAAGAAATGTCCAACAACGACAACAACACCAGCAAGGCTTGCCAGGGTGAGCAAAAACGTATGCAGCCAGCCACCTGTTCGAACTCCAACCACCAAACTACCCGTTGATCGCTACGGCTCCGCTGATTGGTCGCCGGTCTGGCTGCACCTGCACTCGCCCCCCATACTACCTGATGTCTGGGGTCGCCCCAACATCAGTCCTCAGAATGTTCAGTGCTTTCGTGGCCAGCACTCCTCCCAGCTAGACTCTAGCGTGTACTGAGAGAGGTGGTGGCTTTAAGCCAATATTCCAGCACCTCCCACTTAACTTTTGTGTTGCACTTCTTGTTATTTTGCCTTAACGTAACTTTTCATTGTGTCATTTAATTATTCTTATTATTTTGATTGATTGATTTTATTATAAGAATTTGTTTGTGCATTATTTTCATGTTTTGATTTATTTAACGTAATTAAAATTTCATTGTTAAAGTTTTACTTGTGTTTGGTGTGTCTTCTCCTTACCTTACCACAGACGAAGTTCCAGTTTTTCTATTTTTTTTTATAACTATGTGACGAGGCCATACCCCTAGCCTTAAACAGCCGAACACCAACGCGTTACCGTCACAAGTTATATGGGGGCCTGTCCTAGGAGCTTCACTCAGGTACTGGTGCCAAGTGGTAATTGATGGTAAGCGTATTTAACTTTGTTAACGTAGCTTTACTATTTTTCATTCAATTTCATTTTTTATAAGGTGCGGTGTATTGTGCATTACGAGAGTAACATATAGTGAAGGTGAGACAACTTTGGATTACGTGGTGACTGTAGGCCTCAGTCATACTCTTAATTGGTCATCTCTCCCTCCTTGTTATTACTCGTATTTACCATCTATGTCCCTTGAATATTTCTCATTCTGACAGATCATCATATTGGTACCCTGGTACTGTGGTCTGCCCCGGGTCAAGAGTACCCAATCTTCTGCAATCTGACTGTAGGAGGACAAAGAGGGCCATAGTTCCTCTAGCTCGAACCTTAGTTGCTGAATTGGGACCTCAGCAGCAGTTCTCGTCACCAGTTGACACCTCGCACCCCTACACGTCAGTCAGAGATGATGATACATACAACGGTAGGGAATTAGCTTATTTTTTCAGAGCACAAAAGTTCGCTAATTCTGTAAGTATCATATTAAATTCAGTAGGAAAAACTTGCTTTATGTCCTATAGAGACTTGGCAAGGTATGCCTACATCCTTGGACTACCAATTTTACTTTTGAAGCATTTAACTGTTTCATTTGTTTTCGAAACTCTGTTTCATTTGTTAGTAGGATTTTCTTGCCCTTATTCTCTTACATGAGTACCGGGTACAAGATTTCCTGCGCCCTTGATTTAATTTAATCATTTAATATCTTTCACTTAACGTTAATTGTTAAAGATCACACAGGATAGGTACCAGTTGCCACGTTGTCCTGTTTCTGACATTTCATTATTGAACATTCGTGTACCTTTATTTGCTAATTTCACCATGTTTCGTCTCCAAACTTTCCGTGCAAATCCAGCAGGTGAAATAGGGACTTTAAGTCGTGCCAAGAGGACTGAACTACAAACTCTTGCACATGAGTATCAACTAGAAGTTCCCTATCAAGCCAACAAAAATGACCTACACAACCTGTTGCTGGATTACTATTTAGAGCAAGGTAAGATAGACTCTGAAACTCATGAAACTTACTATATTGCAGATAAAACTGACTTGGCAACGATGAAACTTAAACTAGAGCTGGCTAAGATTGAACGTGAGCAGCAAAAGGAAGCCCGCGAACAGCAAAGGGAAGCCGCGAACAGCAAAGGGAAGCCCTCGAACAACAAGAACGAGCAGCTGCCATACGAAGGGAAGAACAAGAACGTGAGATTGCCTTACTCCAGGAGCGGGAACGCATACGGCTTGAAACCAAACAACGCGAGTTGGAAATGCAACGTGAACATGACAAGCAACAAGCGACTCTGGCTCTTGAGTGTCGTCAACGGGAATACACGTTGGAAACTTCACACCTCGCTCAACGCCAGCAAGCTACTGCCAATCTTCCCGTCAGTTTTAATATATCACATGCAAGTAAGTTAATGCCATCCTTTGTAGAAGCAGAAGTTGATGTTTTTTTCACCACCTTTGAAACCCTTGCTAATCAACTCAGTTGGCCTGTCGACCAATGGGCCACACTTCTCAGAGTCCATCTTACAGGTAGAGCTGCAGTCACACTCAGTACTTTGGCGTCTGAGAATGACTACTACACTCTGAAACAAGCAGTGTTAGACGCCTACCTCCTCTCTACTGAAAGTTATAGAAGGAAATTCCGTGACCACCTGAAGGCAAGTACCACTACCTTCCTCGAGTTTGCTAACACGAAACGGAGGTATTTCATGAAATGGCTGGAAGCAGCACATGTCTCTACTTTTACAGAACTCGTCAACCTGATGCTTGTTGAAGAATTCTTGAGACGTGTGCCGCCTCCTGTCCGCCTCTACTTAGCAGATAAAGAAGAAACCGACTACCTGAAGTGTGCTAAGTCGGCTGACACTTACAGCCTCATCCACCGGCTGACACCTGAACCATCCTCCAGTAAGAAGTCGTGGTACAGTTACGAGAAGGTGAGCCCCGATCAAGCTGGTTCACAACTGTACTGCAAGTATTGTAGACTCTATGGACATACCATAGACAAGTGTGGTAAGTCTCAATACAAGGGAACCACTGACCAACAACGACCCAAACCAACTCCTCCTAAGTCCGGTAAGCCTGTGATGAATGTTGGTGTTGATGTTAATGATCTTTCTCTTTTCAGTAACCACCTGTATACTGGAACTGTCTCTGCCAACGGTTCAAATCCGGAGGGACGTTTCAAATTGAAGATCTTGAGGGACACAGCGGCTCTACAATCGATCATCTTGAAGTCGGCTGTGCCCAACATAGTCTACACCGGGGAAACAGTCTTCATCACTGACCTCACTGCTACCACTCCATACCCTCTCGCCAGAGTCCACCTGGATTGTCCCTACGTGAACGGGGAAGTCCAAGTCGCCGTCAGGGAAAAGCCTTTTCCCATGCCTGGAGTGCAACTTCTCCTAGGCAACGACTTGGCAGAAGACCTGCAACCGACCAACCTGATCGTCATGGACAAACCCCAGGTGTGTAACTCTGTGCCAATAGATCCTATTCTTGAGTATGTTCCAGCAGAGGTTCAAGAGAGTGATGAAGTTTCTCCTCCGGTTCTCGTGACCACCCGTGCACAAGCCGCACGTCCACAGCCAGCTGACTCTACTGCTACCGCTGTCCCTCAAGACCCTCAGAAACTACCCCCGCATCTGACCAAGTTGGAGTTCCGTAAGTTGCAGAGGGAAGATCTTACTTTAACACCATTGTTTTTCCAGGCTGAGACTCAACCCGACAGTATTCCTGGGTTCTTCCTAGAGAACGACTTGCTCTACCGCAGATATAGACCCAGTAAACTGAAGGAGGAGGACGATTGGGCCAACATCGAACAACTTGTGATTCCCACCAGCCTGCGGCCCACTATTCTACACCTGGCCCACGGAGCATTCTCCCACTACGGCTTCAACAAGACTTACCATGGAATTCGTCAAGACTACTACTGGCCAGGTATGGTAAATAACGTCAAACAGTACGTAAAACAGTGTCATACATGTCAGAAGGCAGGCAAACCGAACGTCTCCATTCCCAGAGCACCACTGATTCCCATACAGGTGCCTGCGGAACCTTTCCACAGACTCATAATAGACTGTGTTGGTCCTTTACCTCGGACCAGTTCAGGTAACGCCTACATCCTAACCATCCTGTGTCCTACCACCAGATTTCCCATAGCAGTTCCAGTGAAGAACATCACGGCTGCTACGGTTATCAAACATCTATTGAAGATCTTCACTCAATACGGATTTCCCAGGGAAATTCAAAGTGACTGTGGCACCAACTTCACCAGTGATCTCTTCAAAAGGACACTGGAGGAGTTCAACATCAAACAGGTATTGTCCAGCCCCTATCATCCTGCTTCACAGGGTTCTCTTGAACGTAGTCATCAGACCATCAAAGCACTCTTGAAAAAGTTTTGTAGTGAAACCTCAAAGGATTGGGATAAGCAGATTGACCTAATAATGTGTATTTTCAGAAGTCTCCCCAATGAGTCCCTAGGAGTATCTCCTTATGAGATGCTCTACGGCCGTAAGTGCCGTACTCCCCTTAAGGCTTTCAAAGACTCTCTCAGAGATGCCACCTTCAGTGAGCATCAGAATGTGCCCCAGTTTCTTCAAAACCTACAGCACATTCTAGAGAGAGTCCACCGCTTTGCCCATGATAATCTATTGAAAGCCCAGGTGAGAATGAAGACTCATTACGACCAAACCAGCAAAGTAAGAAAATTCAAGCCGGGAGACTTCGTCCTTGCTTATTTTCCTATCCCAGGTTCACCTTTACAAAACAGATTTTCAGGACCCTACTGCGTCAAAGAGTGCAGAAGCAACAACACATACGTCATAGAGACTCCAGATAGGCGGCGGAAGACCCAGCTGTGCCACGTCAACCTCCTGAAGCAATATAATGGTACTCCTCCCACTGTCTTGACTAACTATTCCACATTCACAGAACCCTACATCCACAGTGAGACCATCCCGGCTTCTTCTCCCGAAAGCACTGACAAGGAGTCAGCGCTTTCTAATTCCGAAATCCTTAATGATCTTCCCAAATACTTTCAGGATAATCATAGTGCACCTCTCGTCAAGATCTTCAGAGAACATCAAGAGTTGTTCAGAGATGATCCCCAAGAGTGTAATGTTACCCAGCACGACATCCAACTGCTCCCCGACACCCGGCCGATTCGTCAACCCTTCTACCGAATCAGCCCGAGCAAGAAGGAAGTCATGCGTGCTGAGGTGCAGTACCTCTTGGACCATGGACTGGCTACACCTTGTGAGTCCCCCTGGGCCTCACCTTGTATCTTGGTGCCCAAACCCCAAGGTAAGGTGCGGTTGTGCACTGACTATCGTAAACTGAACTCTGTCACTGTCAAGGATGCTTACCCCTTGCCAAGGATAGATGACATCCTTGATGCCATTGGTAGTGCCCAGTACTTGTCCCAAGTGGACTTGCTTAAGGGGTACTATCAAGTGTGTCTAACGGAGCGCGCTAAAGAGATATCTGCCTTCATCACTCCTTTTGGACTTTTCAGATATGAACGCCTTCCTTTCGGACTATGTAATGCCCCGGCCACCTTTCAAAGAGCTGTCAACCGTGTCATCCAGGGCTTGGATAACACATACGCCTACCTGGACGATATCGTCGTAGCCTCCAACTCCTGGAGTGAACATCTGCTCCAGCTGCGACGTCTGTTCTCCAAGCTCCTGACAGCCGGCCTCACCATCAACCTGGGCAAGTCCACTTTCGCGAAAGGTAAAGTGCGTTATCTGGGTCATGTTATTGGGAGTGGCAGCATAGCTCCGTTAGACTCGCACACTCAAGCCATCCAACAGTATCCACAGCCTACCACCAGGAAGCAGCTCCTGCGCTTCCTTGGTCTTGCCTCTTACTACCGTAGGTTTGTGAGGAATTTCAGTACAGTCGCCACACCTCTAATTCTATTAACCAGTCCCAAGCAACGGTATAATTGGACCATACAGCAAACCGTTGCTTTTGAACAACTCAAATTCCTCCTCTGTTCTAACCCCATTCTCGCCTCTCCAGATATCACCAAGCCTTTCGTCCTTCATGTCGACGCCAGTGGTACCGGCGTTGGTGGTGTCCTGATGCAACAACGAGGCGAGGAGGTTCTACCTGTCAGCTACTACAGCTACAAACTGAAACCACACCAGAGGAACTACAGCACTATTGAAAAGGAGCTACTATCCATCGTCCTGAACCTCCAACACTTCGCTCCGTACCTACAAGGCGCCAGGTCTACCACCATCTTCTCAGACCACAACCCTCTCCGCTTCCTACATCAAGCCCAATTCACCAACCAACGTCTTCTACTATGGGCTTGCTACCTGCAGAAATTCAACCTGGAGACACGCTATACCAAGAGTCTGACAACATCTTAGCCCATGATCTCTCCAGAGTTTATGAAGTAGAAGCCACTCCATCCATTACTCCACCACATAACGACGTACTTCTTCCAGAACCGCAGGCTTCGGGGGAGAGTTGTGACGATAATCTCCTTCAAGAGATTGAGCCTGCTCTTCCCTCCATAATTACGTCTTCACAATTATATAAAAGACTATGGAAGAAATGTCCAACAACGACAACAACACCAGCAAGGCTTGCCAGGGTGAGCAAAAACGTATGCAGCCAGCCACCTGTTCGAACTCCAACCACCAAACTACCCGTTGATCGCTACGGCTCCGCTGATTGGTCGCCGGTCTGGCTGCACCTGCACTCGCCCCCCATACTACCTGATGTCTGGGGTCGCCCCAACATCAGTCCTCAGAATGTTCAGTGCTTTCGTGGCCATCACACCTCCCAGCTAGACTCTAGCGTGTACTGAGAGAGGTGGTGGCTTTAAGCCAATATTCCAGCACCTCCCACTTAACTTTTGTGTTGCACTTCTTGTTATTTTGCCTTAACGTAACCTTTCATTGTGTTATTTAATTATTCTTATTATTTTGATTGATTTTATTATAAGAATTTGTTTGTGCATTATTTTCATGTTTTGATTTATTTAACGTAATTAAAATTTCATTGTTAAAGTTTTACTTGTGTTTTGTGTGTCTTCTCCTTACCTTACCACAGACGAAGTTCCAGTTTTTCTATTTTTTTTTATAACTATGTGACGAGGCCATACCCCTAGCCTTAAACAGCCGAACACCAACGCGTTACCGTCACAATATATATATATATATATATATATATATATATATATATATATATATATATATATATATATATATATATATTAATACAACTAGTAGAAGGAAGTGCCACGTACAATAGTTAGTTGAATCAAGGTTGTGCTGTATTCTGGCAAAGGTTCAACATAACGAGTTTTTGTTCCATTTGGGCTGCAAAAACTTCGTTTGTATTCAAAATTAAATTGCTTTGGTAATTTATAAATACTACAGTACCACTACACAACATCATGTGCAATATATCTATAAACAGTGCTACAAAAACAGATGACGAGTCATACTAATGTGGCTGATGATATGATGACCAAACCACACATCAGAAAGTAAAAAAAAGTGAAGACGTTTCGGTCTGTCCTGGACCATTATCTAAACGGCTTGATGACAGTCCAGGACAGACCGATACGTCATCATTTCTTCACATTCTGATGTGTGGTTTGGTCATTAGTGCTACAAGTAATATAGAATATTACTGAATTACCCTTCTTGACACAAGTCCACAGCTGATCCTTGGACTGACACTGTTCAAAGATGAGTGGCAGTCTGACATGGCCAGCACAGATGTACCAGAAGAGAATACCAAATGCATAAACATCAACACTGTTGTCATAGTGCCCTGTGAAGAGTTCTGGAGCCATGTGGATGGGAGTACCTACAATGCTCCCAGACATCATTGCTTCAGGCTTACAGAATCCCAAGTCTGTCAGCTTTGCTCGGTTGTTTTTGTCCAACTGAAAAATAAATAAAAATACCATTATGCATCACCTGTCATTTACTGTACTGACCCTTACTGCCTTCAGAAGAATGATGCTTAACCAGTCAACAATATTCTTGTGTTTCACCAACATCTGCCAGAAATATCAAGGCTGTATGTCTGGTCACAAAAGTCGGGCCCAAAATAAAGTAGAAATGTACGAAACCTTTTAAACATTAGTCTAAACATCATTAACTTTAGGTTATTTTGTTACATATTATAACATATTGACGCACATATTATGTTACATATTGACGCACTTGGTCAACCCAAACGTGTATCAACGAACTTGCCAAGCGAGGCAAAGCTCGTAAACAGTAAAATTTTTCAAAAAAACTGAGCTCGTAAACCAAAAAATTCATAAAGGGCATTCATAAATTGAGGTTCCACTGTATTTTCAAATTAATGAAAATTACTTGATAATATAGATGGTGCTACATAGTCTGCCCCAGCTTGGTGTCTTCTTTTGATAATTACTTACTTGTTACAATATATTTAAGATTTTTTCATGAAAATTATACGGATAAAGTATATTAGGTGAGAAATTCTTTTGAAATTTGAATTTAAAAAAATTATAAGGGGGTGCGGAATTATATAGTCTAGATTTTCGAACTTACATTACACAATTGTGGAAAATATAACAAGTTAGGGATGCTATATTAGGATAGAGAAGGTGCAACTGCACATAACTGCAATTATAGAAACAAAACTACCTAACTACCCAGTCATATCAGAGAATAAACTGAAGCCACGTTGAGAAAAATATGAAATATGGACCATCAGACTATGCTACAGTCAATAATTTGTACATATGGAACAAGATGGTGGGAAAATTAATTGGAAATTATAGCAAATTCTGCCTTGTTAAAATTCAAATCAAACCATTCTCTTACCAACACATTCTTGAGCTTTATATCGCGGTGTACAAGACCCTGAGAGTGTAGAAAGCGTATTCCCTGGGTCACATCAAGAGAAATCTGTTGGCACAGAAAGATTTAAGAACATTTCTTCAAATTCTATAATCCTAAATAAGTACATCTTTTTTTAAATTGACAAACATATACCAGTAGTAAGGTCACTATAAAAATATAATTGAACAACAAACTATACATGGGGACCCTGTATACATATATCTAAAATATATTTTGTCACCAAAAACAGGGTACAGTATAAATAATTATTCTGCATGGTTCTGTGTTCTCTGGGAACACAGAGACTACACAACTCTGTATTTCATAAGGAGTGATATATACAGCACTATACATTACTTATACTGGGTATTTTTCATTTTCTTACCTGCAGTCTGATAACCCAATCAAGGCCATGTTTGATAGCAGAGTACAGGTCCCGAGTGAGCCTGTCCATTATGAGCAGGACTGCTGGAGTCTCTCCCTGACCGTATGTGTGGTCGATCACACTGCCACGCAGGGCAACAATCCTCTCGTGCTCCGGAACACTTCTATAATGTCACACACAGTAATGCAGTACAACATTAAGCAATCTCATGACTACACCAATTACAAAAGATGCGCTTGCTATACTTTCAGTAAATTCTTTGCCTGGTAAAAAGTCTAATATAATTGCACGATAACATTCCATTATTTTCTAATAGAGGCAGACTCACTGGATTGTTTCAAGTGTAGGTTAGACACATATATGAATACATTTGGGTAGATATCAATAGGGGCTGCCACATATGGGCCACTAGGCCTTCAGTAGTTGCTTTTGTTCTTAAGTATTCTGCCATCACTCACTATCACTAGACAACAACACTCCACTGCTTCATGCAATTTAGGGTAAAGTTCTATCTGTGAGTTGTCATTTAAATATACAGTATATTCAATATTTACTATATTTACTCTCTCTTAACAAGCTAATCTTATTGAGCATAGTGTACCATTCGTACTTAATCCCTGCTCTCCAGCACACTAATTCACCATATCTATCTTCTTCTTGGACATCATATTCTCCTACCATCAATTTTGTTCAAATACTCTATTAACTACTCTAATAAACACCTTCTTTTCATTAAATAAATCCAGCATTATATTTCCTACTCTATTTTAATATACATACTATCTAATATTTCAGTTATTAACACTCTACATTCTCAAGTAGTGAATGGTCAATAGAAATGCTCAAAATATTTATGCAAAAGGAAAGAAAACAAGGCAAAAGAATTCTGTATTCTCCCAGGTGGTGACAGAGGTCGTCCCCTTCCCTGCTCAGAATACACACTCAACCAAGTCAATGATGAGGTACGTTTTAGGTATGTAAACATTTAGAGGTTAAATTGATTTTTCAGTCCGACACAAACCAATTTATTTTTTTTTGGTATACATAATGAAGAAATAATGGACAAGAAAGAAAAATATTAACCTGGTATAATGAAATTCCATCGCCAAATCATTCCAATGTTTCTCATCAAGTGGAACTAGAGACTTGACTGCACATGGACGGAAACCACCCCAAGCATCACACCCGTACACAACTCCATACTGACCTCTTCCAAGCTCCCGATCTAGTCTTGGCATTCCTGAGGAGATTTAAAACATATGTTGCAAGATATATACAGTGTAGCTTTGATTATCCAAAGCAACTCCTACCTTCAGATTTCTAGATAACTGAAATGCTGAAATAATTGCATTCATACTTTAAATTCCAATGATTTAAAGTCACACTTTAATTTCATCCTATCATAAGACAGATATCTACCAGGAGATTAAGAGCTGTAAAGGAGATTTTGCCTTATCAGGCCTATTTCCCCAAGTCCCAGATAACCGAGCCCATACCTTGGTGAGTGTAAAACCCACCATTGGGTGTAATGAAACACCTCTTTCTGTAGAAACATCATAACTCAAAACATATCAAACTATTCATTAATAAAGTATCTGAATGGCTGAAAACATCAAATACTGAACTGAAATCAATCTTTACCAAAAAGGATCATATCCTTTAGTGAGGTAGATTCTAAAGACAGTCTGGCAAGTTTTGGCGCATCCACTTTTTTAATGCGAGTTTGCTGCCCTTCTGTCTTTTCCAGTCGACATGTTAATTGTGCTTCCAGCTGTTTAAGGCTCCCCAAGAAGGAATCGTGACTGTTTTTCAATCTCTCACGGAACTGCAACACAAAAACAAAATGTAAAACACAGTAGCTCAGCTATTTTACCACACATACAAACATGCATAACCACTACCCTATTTCCATTTGTTGCATAGCATCAGCCTGGAAAAAATCAATAAAGTATAATGAAAGGCCAGAAATATAGTACAGTATTACAAAATTACGAACCCCACTCGTCCAGTCAATAGCATGTCACGTGATTTCTTTGGGAATCTAATGATATTTGTTGATGCAACTTAGAAGTGAACATTGTGTACAGTTTCATTATAGAGCAATGGAATAAGATTCAAGCCATCGACAAAAAAATAACCATCACAAAATGAATGTCATTTTTTCCTTCTAACTACATAATACAGCACTCACTTGGTAACATTTACATACTGTATAAAACAAATAACATACAACAATAAACATCTGTACAAACATTAAATGTTTGTGTGTGTATTGTGTGTTTCAGGACTGGTTTGTTTGCTGCCTTGCAGGCAAAGTTATCTTCTATATCAAGGCAACAATGAAACCCTATCTGTCTATTTTTATGGTATGGTAAACTATCCCTTTGCTAACATTTTAACGTAACAAAATAATAAATATTGTAAATTTAAAATAATCTATGACAAAAGCATCTGTACAAATATAAAATGATTATAAATATTTTCGTTTAAAGCTCCAGGACTCGTACTCAGTTTACTATATGATAATATCAATCATTTGTGAATATTCAGATGTAAGACCCGAACACACACACAAAAAAAATATAGCTGAACAAAGATTAAGCAATTACAAACATTCACTTGCACTGATCCGCTGACTAGCTGGTCCCTGCTTCGCTTGCAGGGACCACGTGCCACCAGACCCAAGAACACGAGACCAGTTCTCATTATCACAGCACACTCCATAGTTAAAGCCAAGCTATTAACAATCTAATATTTAAAACAAGGATAGCGACAGCAAATAACATTAAGTGTCAAATACATATGCAGGACAAATTTGTATTGTCACCTGATGGCTGGTATGGGAAAAATCCTCACTACAGTATTATGCAAGACTTTAAATGTGAACCACCATGAATAAGCAGAACAGTGGGTGGTAAGCCTCGAGAACAAATTATTGTGAACAGGCAATTGACCAATAATTAGCATTATAAACTCGCCTACTTGTGCTTGCGGAGGTTGAGCTTCGGCTCTTTTTGTCCCGCAAACTGTCAGCTTTTTAAGTAAATCTTCCAGTTCAGTAATATATATATATCAGTTTAATACCTAATTTTATGAAATGAAAATGCCATTTTGGTATTCAGTATTCAATTTGCTTTTACCTGAGCACATATACTCTTAGTGAGCTTAGCTTCTGAAAGACTAGTAATCATATCTGAGGCAACTTTTCTTTTCCACTCGGCATCGATGACTGGCGGTGTTCTCCCAGGCATGGCTGCCACCAGCTGTTTCATTTTCTCCCACAGCGAGCGGAGAACTGACGATGATGTGGTTACTGTCACTTCAACTTGATACGCAGCATTCACCATCTGTGAAGCATAAATGTAATGTTTATTTATGCATAATATAAGAGTACTATACTTCCTACCCTTAAGTGCACTAGAATTATTTAGTGGCACACACCAGCAATGTACCGTGATGCAACAGCAATGTGTTGTGTGCACCAGGAATGTTTAAAAAAGTTAGACAATCATAAAAGGTTTCTATAAAACTTGTTCAATGGCACATTGTAAAACAGTTGCAAACAAAAATACTTGGTTAATTGTTTGACATGTTTCCACAAAATGGTGCACCATATCTTTATCATGAAATGTACAACAAGGATGGCTGCACCCTCCTGCCCCTTACATAGTATTGGAAAAGATGCTATACCATCCTTAAAAGGGTAACCCCGAGACACTGGGAATATGTTGTATTAACTTGGAATAGAATACTGCACCCTATTTACTACCTTAAAACTGTCTTAAAACTCCTCATGGATGGATACCTGTTTGAGTGCATCCCCAATATGGGGATTTTCACCACAAGCTCGGCAATCCTTCTCCAAACTTTCCAGACAGCGCTGCAGTGTTCCCAAATATGAGTCTCTCATAACATCCACACGATCGACTAGCTGACGACCAACTTCACCATTAAGAGAGCCAATAACAAGTTCTTGTATTTCTCCAGTGCACTGTCGAACTTCTCTCCCACACACCACCTCGCCTGTTGATAAGCTCTCTGCATCTGCAAATGTGAAATTATACCATGAGAAAACTTAAGAATTCAAAATTACACAACTTAATTTTTTATACAGCATTAAAGATTAAAAGACGAGCCTTTGAGCAGCATTTAGAAAGGTAGATGAAATACTGTACTGCAGCTGAATGTAAATCCAATTAGTCACTTATAAGATATCTTAACATATCTTATATCTTAACAGATACTGTACCTATAAGATATCTTAAATAGAGCACTTATACTATTTCCACAAATGTATTCCACTCCCCTAACAAATACCTTTGAATTCATATGCAGCAGCTTGATCTAAAAGATCATCCTTCATTTTAGAAATTGTGTCACTTATTACATTTCGAATTTCATCTTGTTTACTTGATGCAATGGCCATCAGACTCTCGTAAAGCTCGGCCTCTTTGTCTCGGGCATAAGTAATTCTTCGAGGAGTGATCTGAATTTCTCGGGCCATGTCAAATGCAAACAAAATAAATTTTCTCATGCAACGATTATGACCCTGAAATGTAGAAAATAATAATGATGAATTTGCTAAAAATATTCAGTAAAGTATTTTCATAATGTTGACAAGTTGAGTGACACAAGACAAAAAGTATATTTTTATTTAATAAACTATTATGAATTACTGTGCATGTATAAAAGCAGGCTATGAAATATTTGAAATTTCCTGTATCATAGTTAACTTAGCTATTTATTATGCACCCCATGCCCATTCTGAGGGCAGGGGGGGGGAGAGGGTTAAAGAGGCGCACAATGGGTTCAGGAACTGAATCTCACAGTTCATTTTGTTAAGCAAGTAAAAATTTTTGTGCAATTTCATTTCATATTACTGTATACATTATATGTATGTGTATGTGTGTGTGTGTGTAAATCATGAAAATTAACACGTGATGAAAAATGCGACAGTGTCAGACCACGGAGGAAGAACTGAAACAGGAATTTCCTCAAGTACTTTCGTATATTAATACATCTTCAGAAGGAATTCCATTCCTTCTGAAGATAGAATTGAATTCCTGGCTGGAATTTATCCTGACCGGGAAGGATTTACTTGGCGCCAAACCTTAACTGTAGCCTCTGTTCACCCAGCAGTGAATGGGTACCTGGTTGTTAAATGATTTTGCGGGTTGTATTCCGGGGAAAATTAGGATAAGGACTTGCCAAAACACTATGCATGCTAGTGGCTGTACAAGAATGTAAGAACTCTTGTATATAAAAAAAAAATCTGTAGCCACCCATTCAATTGGGTGGCAGTTTTACAGTCATGTGCATTTATTACCTACAGTAAGCAAACTCTGGATGCTTGGCTAAGATTTCTGGTAGTACATCAGTATGAATGAAGCACTTGCACATATGACAAAAATCTCCCAACATACTACAGAACTATGACATTAGTTCGTGTGTGTGAACATTTTACTATAACTGGTTGGCAAGTGTGGATGTGGTCAGCTCACTTGCAGTAACATTTGAATACTGCATACTGTACCTGATTGAGAAGTGTGGATGCATGAATGAGGTGGGATTGTAGGATCATCCTTACGTACGGCACAACATTACAAAACGAATCAAAACTCTCCACCAGTTCACTGTCCACGTGGTAGCTGTGTTCTACTAAACGCCATCGAATTTTCTTGGGTGATGGTGCCATGGATAGGTAGCCTGTATACAAAGATAAATACAGTAGTATACACAGTATGAAAATCTTTGACAAATACATGCTTGATACACAGATATACAGATATTAAAAAATATTTACTGAAAAACAGATGAACAATGTATTAATTATATGCTCCAATTTTTAAGCAAACTTTTGTTACTAAAAATGTTACATAGTAACATGTTATTGCTTCATAGTTTAAAATTCTTATGTCCAGTACCAGTTATTGATGAGGTGCAGTTTAGTACGTATAGTAAAAAAAAACATCCCAAATCAAGTAACTCGTGAGGCAAAAGGTATATATACAGTACTTTACAGGCATCTAGAATTTATCTGCAGTTTACAA